CCATGGATCAGCCCCGCACACCCTGGGGTTCTCACAACTGACCTCTGATGGGATGAGACCCACTGGTCCGACTGTTCTGAGGAAAGAGAAGTCAGGGGCACAGGGCTGACTTTTAAACCTTCTGGATCCTCCCAAAGGCTACATTACCCCAGAAGGCAAGTCCTCTGGTCTAAATCACCCTCTCATGTCCTGAATGATAGGCTGAGCCAATGTACAAATAACAAAACCAAACCATACATATTAGAGAAGAATTCTAGCAGTAAGAATTAATGCAATTTGGAAAACTGTATGTAGAACAGAGAAACCAGAGCATTTTATAAAAGACATCAAGTTCATCTATGAAAGGCACTCTTTTAATCTGTCTATGAGCAAGAAAAGCAGGCTCTGGATTTGAATCTCTGTTCTTCTCCTTCACCAGTTAGGGGAACCACCAACATCCATACAGCCACTCTGTTCTTACAGGTCTCATTTGGAAATGAGAAGAAAAAGCCAGCCACCACATATCACTCAGGGTGAAAGAAGCACTTCTGGTATGTCAAAAGTACTAAATGAAAGGTAACTACTAATACTTGAAATATTACGATGGGTTCTCCTTATTATTACGTTGAAAACAGGATGCTGAGCAGAGAGTAGACTTCTAAGCCATCATTTTGAATGGATCAACACATAAATATGTGAATTAAGGTCACAGGTTGGCTTTTCCAAAAGACTATCACATACGTACATACGGACACGGATGCTAACTAATGTCCTCAGGGAATAATTAATGCTTCCTCAACATTTCAACAAGCAGGTCATTCCAGTACAAGACATAAAAAAAAAAACACACAAAAAAAACACTCTATGAAAGCAATTAACATTATATGGCTATTGTTTAAAAAGTTATCTGTGAACTTTCATAATTGTTTCTGCAGCATTCTTTATAATACAAAGTGGGTAACTGACCAAAATCTACCTGAATTTAATTCATTTAGTTACTAAACGTTTGTAGAAATGACTCAAGTCTCTAAGAATAAGCATGGTTAAGTACAAAGTTGGGGGTAGTTTGTTGTGTTTTTTAGTTAGTACCTAACACAACACATTGGATATGCAAATGCCAGGAAGGAAACAAAACCAGAAAATCCTTCTTCTCATCCATACTTCTAAATATACAGTTTATATTTAAATTGATTTTTAATTACATTTTATTTGTCATATACTCTGCTACCTGAAATGAAAAGTGACAATGTCCACTCACTGGACAGAGGATTTGGGCTCAGAGTTATTTCTGTCTTTCATGGGGAAGGAAACAAGACAGAATCAGTGCTTTATAACTATGATGGCTGCTGCAGGTTTGTGCATACATACATTTGTAAAAAAAAAAAAAGAAAGAAAGAAAAAGAATTAAAAAAAAAATCCCACATATCAGATTTGACACTTCCCAGGTATATTTTTACCTTAGCTTTTTCAAAAGGAAGACATAAGCTGGTTAAAGTATTAACTTACGTTTTACTTCTGTTACTTTTAACAAAATAAATTTATCCCTGAATCACGATGACTATTTATCTGATGTTTAAATTCCATTTTTAAAATGTCAGGGAAAATGCAACATCAAAATTAAATGTTTTAGTGCAAAGCAAAATATTCCTTTTTTTCTACTCTCAGTTTATCTCCCAAGTCCATATCCTCAAGGTTTTCACTACAGACTTTCTCGTCCTCAAGTCAGACTGTATTCTCTCCTTAGAATATAATATCCAGCTCATCTAACCACATCCACTAAAAAAAGCAAAAATAACAACAAAAGAATCAACCTCAAATCTATAATGAGCTAAGCATTTCTTATGTCTTGGAATGGTTTGCAAAAATAAACACACATGTGGTACAAAGAATAAATGCATGTTGGTCTATTTGGGCAGATTTTTGATAGGAAAGTAAATATCAGAAATAAAGGTATGAGTTGTAAATCAAACCACATGCTCACTTTAGAAAATTTCTGCAGCTGCAGAAAACCTTGCAAATATTATCCAAGAAAATACTATTGGGCCCCTCCCCTCCCTCCCAAGGGGGAAAAAAAAAGAAAAAGTATTCATATTTCAAAATCGACACTTAACTATAAGACTTAGCACTGCAATAAAACCAGGACTCTACAACATTTCTCAGTGAGAAATCAGGATTCTGACTTTTCTTTCTAGAGATGCTGGCTCCTTCCTCTGTCAATTGAGGAGTCTGAGAAGGCTGTTCCTCGTTTCAAGAATGGAAACTCAACTGGACATGTGTTTATTAGCAAGTGGTGGAGAGACTGGCTGAGGGTTTTGGAAGTTATGAGCGGACAAACACCCTCGTGCTAATATCTGGTGGCTCCCCCGATGAGCAGTGTGGGCATTTACTCACACATGGCGTGGACTTTCCACTAAATATAATACTCAAAGGGTCAATAAATCCCTATTTTATCACACCCAGCAAGGCAGAACACTCTTACCCAGTCAACAAAACAAAGCTTTCACCTACAGCAAAGTATGTATGTTGAATTTCGTGCTAAGAGCGCTCATGTGAAGAAATCCCATCTCCATGGAGGAGGTAAAGGAACCTTGACACTGAGCCTTATCCAGCGGTAGGCCCCGATCTGCACAGAGCTGAGGCAATTCTCATTTGTCACGGCATCTTCATCATCAGATCCCAACCCCAGGCGAAAGAAAGAGCAGTTTGTCACGCTTGGCATATATTTTGGGTTTAGGCCTTAGGGAGTCTGCATTTCTCATCTTTAACTAATAACTTTAGGGGGAAGGAAAAAAAATAATAAAGTAAATGGAAAATAGTTCATAATTAAAACATTCTGAGCTGAGTATGAGATTCATGGATTCGTCCTACAGAAAGAAATAGGTGGAGAGGATAGTGGAAACACAACCTTGGCATTGAGTGAAGAGGTGACGCTTTCCCTAGAAAATTAATCTCATTGCTGCCACTGATAAATGGTGTATTCGTTTTCCCCCAAAAGACTGTTTCCACAAAGCATGACTATCACTGAGGTTGAAGTTACCCCCAGTTCCATCCCTGACCAACAGCACAGTGGGGTCCCAAGCCACATGTGACCTCATGCTTCTTCTGGAGGCTTCTCCACAGAAAAAAAAACGGCAATGCAGGACTCTAAAACCAAGTCTCTAACTGTATCCCACCATTCTGTTGAATAGTCTAATTGTCTGTATTCAATTCATTTCCCATGACAACATTAAGTAAATCCACAATTATATTCCCAAGCTCCACGGATGGGGGTTTCCTGGCTAAATGTCACTGTCCTTTAGCAATTAGTTCTCATTGTCTATACAATAAATATTCATATGAGAACCTGCTTTCCCCAGTTCCCAGTAAGTGCCTTGAGTCTTAAATTTCTTTTCAGAAATCAATGAGACACTTAGTAACAAGGAAATTTACAAGAGTCTTATGCCGACTGTTCATACATTTCAACTGGGGGGAGGGCACATACACTCATTCCTTTCTAGAACATTTCAAAAGTAGTCAAATAACATCTTATTAGGAACCCAAAATGTTGGAACCCCAAATCCCAGATAGAAAAGTAACTCTGCTTTCTATCATCCTACTGATTTAACTCCATTAAATTCAATTACTTTATTCAATGATTACAGTTTCGCATTCCTTTTATTACAAAAAGAGGAAAACGAGGAAACCAGTTGGACGTGTCACTGAAATGTTAGTGAAAATATAGAAAATGGTTTACTTGTGATTATCACTACTTACCTTAGAAGAATACAGAAAGCCCTTCTTAATCCTCAACTTAATTTATTTGCATTGTTCTAAAATTGCTAGCAAATAGCGAAGTGAAGCTGTTGGACTACATTGTAACAAACTTCACACCATGGAGCTTGCACTAAATTGGCCCAGCAGCTTCCTTTCAAAGGTAGCCAGGATCTTCAGAAGCATCATTTTTGGAAATACAGTTTGTGGAAGGGGCCTTATCGCAAATGCCGAAATGGTACAGTGGTGTCATTCAGCACAACTTAAAAATGCCGGCAGACTAATCCTCAAAGCTACATTTTAAACGCTCATTAAAAGAAAACAAACCCACAACTTAAAAATTCATTCCAAACTTAAGTAAAGCAACACCTGCTATACCATGAAATGCACCCCAAAATGGTATTGAGCAGAGAGGGACATACATCCCTGCTGACCACACATTCAGAGCTGGTCAGCACATACTCTCCTCTCCCAGTATTTAAAAATCTGTAAATAGTTGAATATTATCAAAATGATGCTTTGGTTATTCAATTAGAAACAGAAGCTCTTTGTAACTAGAGTTTTGGTTGCCTTATACCATTATAAAAAATTAAGTACGATAATAAATCTGCACCTTGCTTCAAAAATACCTGATAGTTTAACATATACTTCAGAAAACAGTGAAGCTTTCATGGAGAGGGAAACAAAGTAAAACCGTATCACCTAACTGTCTTCCAAATCCCAAATAAATTGTTACCAGTCAGCCTTTAATTACAGGTAACAGACTTCTGTTACTTGTCTAACTCTTTTCACTAAAATATTTTCTCTGCACTTTTTTGTAACACAGTATCCAAGAAATGTGCATGCCCTTTTATTCAGATGTGGCACTGCAGAGCTTTAGACCTTAAGAGCTCAGGCTGCCATTCCTACACATCAAATCTCAGGGGAAGCTGTTTCCACCTCTATGGCTTCTTGGAAAACAAAGTCCTCAGGAGAAGGTGGTAACCATGTTCAGGGCACTCAGAAGAGGACTCTAAAACCCAGCTAGAGTCCTCTTCTGCTGCACGGTTTTCCTATAAACAGTCCTTCTTTCTTCTCCCCAAGGAAGGGGGAAAAGAAATGCAAAGGCACTGTTCAGAATGAATCGAGCATGCTTTCAAAGGTCACCATGGTCAAGTCACTTTGCATTTCTGGCAGATTCCTGCTTCAGATACCAGTTGCTTTGGACTGTGCAGCAGCCCCATCAAGCATCCGTGGTGTTTTATCATTTCTTGCGTGCTATGCCTGAGTACCTGTGAGAGGGGGCACTCCTTGGCCAGTGAACTCTGATTCATATCTTTCAGCAAGTCCTTGAGCGCGTTCCTCACCGTGGTGTGCGACCACTGCTCGGGAGGCAAGTCTTCTAGTTTGGGGCAACTATTTGAGACACAGATTAGAAAGGGGATTATTACAAGATTGCATCCCGCTGCAGAACATTCCTTTAAGACAGACAGATTTCATTTTGCGCATCAAACAGATGCATCTGGAGATTGCTCTCGGTCTCCTGATTGTTCCGATTAGTTAATTACTTTATACAACACATCTGCTGTATCGATGCATGAATTATACATCAGCTGCCTGCAGTGGCTATTTTTTCCATGTTACTTCTACCTTCCTGCTCGGATGCGCTTGGGAAGACGATTTAAGGTGTTCTGTTTTCTCGTGATCCACCGTGGAGAGCGTGAGCGGATTAAACCGATCTCCCTTCATCGCTCCGCTCACATGAATTAAAAGGTTAAAAATATACATGTATCTAAATAAAGAGAGACTGCAGCAATGGTGGGGAAGGCATTCTTTCACAAATGTACACAGATGGCACTGTTCATGATATGCAAAAATATTTTTCTCTTAAGTAAACTTTATGTAAAATGCCTTCTTGTAATGCATCATTTAATTGACTGAATGTAGATAGTGTCGTCTTGTGATAACCTTCATGAGCCTACAAATTTGGGGGTGGGGGGAAGGAAGAGAGGCTTTACAATGAGACACGGAAGACAGGAGAAGACAGCCGAAAACAACAGGCGGAGGAGGAAGTTAACAAAATCAACTTGGAATCACTGTTCTGATTCCAAGTAGTGTCAGGGTCACTACTGTTCCAGGTTAGCCAGAGATGCTGAGAGCAGGTGGGGGGGCCGGGCCGGGCCCGGAAGGCCGCCCTGACTCACCTGTGCAGCTGAATTTTCAACGTGACCACGTGGTACACATCTTGGAGCATGTCCGCCACGGTTGCGTCAGGTGCGTCTGTCACGTAAGACAGCGGAACTGGATTCCACTTGCCAACCTGGATTAGCCCTAGTCCAGATAAAGAGAAAAATGGCATTCAACACTGTACCCTGCAGAAAATAATCTCACAGAAATTTGGGTGTTTTTCCCACGCTCCCATCATAAGCCACAGAGTTACCTCTGTGTGAATGACACCCTTCCCCCACGCCCCCTCTAAAAGGCAGGTCAATGAAAATGCCCACAGTTTCGCTTTCCACATTGTGTGATGTACATGACTGTTGGATTGTTTCTTATTTTGAAAATAAGGTGAATAAAACCCATGCACAGGCCACAGGTTCCGAACTTCAGGGAACTCCTAGGAAGACAGAGGCAAACCAGTTCTGAATGGCTTTACGACTTAGATAAGATTCTCTATGGCAGTGGGAATCGGCACTGAAAAATACTTTACAGCCCATAAAACCATCAGAAACAGAATAAAAGAAACAGAACTAGATATTCAGTCATAAATGCAAATTGACTCAACAGTCCATCTGCTCAGATACACTCCCCACTTCCTTGTGGGGCCTCAGTGGGGCAGATTATTAAGGTCAATAAGCATACTAATGATTCAGCTCAAGTAATTTAAAAAAAAAAAACCCTACCTCGACATTCCACATGAGTAAAATGTGTGTTAACTAAACCAAACCGAATTAAGCCAATTTTTTAAAGCCACAGTCTATAAGGCACCGACGTGAAATGCAGGCTCCACAGCTCTGAATTTAAAAAAACAGCAACATTCAGTGCTTTCTCTGGAAGGTAAACAAAGACAGGCAAGTCACTTCCCCGACTCCACACACGCGTTACTTACCTTTGGCCTGAGCAGCAGAGCTGTGCGAGTAACCCAGAGACAGCAACGCCATTTCTATCAGCTGGTTGAAAAGCATATCTTTCCTCACCAGCACGAACTCCGCGTGTTCCTCCTTGCAATCATACTCAATGGCATTTTCGTAATGTTCCACCACGCAGAAGACTGGGAGCATCGTGCCTGGCAGAAAAGAGAGAGGGAGATGCAAACCAGCACTCTTCAGAAATGCAGTCTGCGGCTGGTGGAGGGAACCTGAGCTTTGAAAAGAAATCTACCTTCACGACAGCGAATGGGCCACTCCGGCAGGCAGGGCACGGAAATAGGGGCTCACACACAGAATCAGGGCATACACATCTTCCCTTTGTAAAGTTGCAGGAGAAATACTTACACAGATTGAGCCTGGTCGTAAGAGCACTTGGACACTGCTAACTTTAACGGCTTGAGTGTCTTCCCAGGCAGAATACCTTTTTGATCAAGTCCTCTAACAATGCTGACTGATGAGAGAGGTGTTAAGGGCAGCTTGGCTCATGTGCTGTGGGTGGTAGGCAAATGCACCCCACTCTAGCTACTTTCAGGGGAAGCCATCTTCGTGGATCCCACACAATCTCGTTTAACATTAAACTTTTCCTATTTCTGTCCTGTGTGTCCATTACCTTTGACTATAAAATTATCATCACACACTTCCTCTTTCGGATATTTACTCAGAGTGGTTCCAGAAAAGAAATGCAAAACTTAACCAAACCGATGCTAATAATAGAAGATCTCAATACGTGCATAAGGCAGCCGGAGAGGACTTATTTTTATGGCTATCCCATCTTCCTAACTGAAGAGATCCCAGGAACCACATGTCTTTAAGATAACCAATGTCTGTCAGAGTCAATGGGCTTGAAGGGAAGGAGAAAAGGAAGCTGGCCTTATCAGAACACATCAGGATAAAGCATCTGCATAGATTCCTGTGTTCGCTCTCAAGTGACTGTAATCCAATGTAATAACTCAATAGACAGAATTCTTCAGCATGGGTCCCACCACTGTCAGAAAAAAGGCTTCTGGAAAACTGAAATTGTGGAAAACCACGGCATTGGATGTGCTTACACAGGGCACCGTCAGCCTCCCGGTGACAAACAGAAAAGGGTTAAAAGCAGACGCATGTAAGTTATACGGTGGCAAACTGCCAGGAGGGTATCTTCAGCATAAATGATGACAAGGGTTACTTTAACAGGGCACCCAGGATCCCCAATTAGTCCTACCGCATTAATGCCTCTCTAGGCTTTACCCTCTAGACTCTCAGCGTTCTACCAACTTCCAAAGATGTCGAGTGCACATCAACCGGAGCTAAAATCTGGATTTCTCCTGACACCAGAGATGCCCTTTGAAAATTCTCTGGCTGCTTGTTTTCGCGGAACAAAAGCCGGCGATGAAACAGCGACATTCATCGACATGTGCATCTTCACCAGAGCTTTAGTTGAACTGTTCACAAGAGATTCTAGCTCTGACAAATAAACCCCTTTAGGTTTACTTAGAAAAGCCTGCAAACTCATTCTGAGGTACCCAACAGGCTGAGCTCGAAAAACGAGCTACAGAGCTTGCCAATATTCCTGTCATTCATTCAGCTGTTTAATACCAGAGAGAGAACCCGTCAGGGATCAGAAGACGACTTGGGGAGACCACAGCAAAAAAAAAAAAACAGCAATATGCAAACTGCTGATTTCTTCCTTGGCTTGAAGGTACTTTGGCAAAATCTCCTACTCAAATAAACAAAAACACTTGACCCCTTTTTCTTCGTGTTTTCTCTGCTCAGTCACAATTTTCATCTAGCACCTGTCAAATACAAGCCACGGACATGGAAAGGAAGAAGCCTGTGGGGGGCTGGGGGACACCCCCCAAAAAAGGCTTTTCGGTAGTTTTGTCATTTGGAGAGAGCAGAGAGAAACCTGCAGCAAGTGAACTGCATTTTTAAAATGTTACTACGAACATGAAGGCCTTCTTAAGAAAAAAAAAAAGAAAAGAAAAAAAAACACACAACAAAAACCAAAACCAAAACACACAACCCTCTGAGCAGGAAGTGAAATTACTGTACTCTGGCTTCTCCTCCCCCTGTCCTGATGTCTTCAAAAGAGCTGGGTGAGTAGAACAGAAACAGATGCATTGATTTTTCCTCCTCTATGGGGTGAACAAGCATGTTGTACTTTGGGAATAACTGCAAGCTCTCTGAACTCAGGAACTACGCTGGATTTATCTAAGGCTTTACTGATCAAGCCTAGAGGTGGCCCTGCAGATAATCAAGGTGTCTATTGATAAAGGGACAATAGTGTCATCGGATTATAAATTGAACTGCTCTCCTGGTGGCCCTCCTGTCCGTGGGAGGGAGGCTGAGTAGGGGGCTTCTCTGAACTACTCGATTATTTGTGCTGGAAGTCTGGAGAGACTACTAACTCCAGCAAACTTCATAACCTCCCAGCATTACAAGAGGAGCGTCCTGGTCACTGCTGAAAGCTAAAAATACCACATGATTTAAACCTGAAGGCAGTCTTAGAAGCTTTTGCTGAAGGTTTATGAGCCTGTGTAAACAGCACGTCGACCATAAGGAGTACTGAAGTCTGTAGAATCCTTGTCTAAAACTGTCCTGGCATTAAAGTTTGCTGTGCAAATATCACATAATACCAGAGACAGCTGAAATCTCCTATTTAGGAATTTATGGAACTTATATGTTTGCAGGCCTCAGAAAGTCTTTTTTATAGAGCCCCAGTGCCTCACGTACAATATTAATGCACTCTGTTTGAAAAGCCGTAATAAATTATATTTTTAATGCTCTTACCCTGGCTTTCTTAAGATGCATACATTCTTGGCAAACAATCAATAAATAGGGTAATCATGAGCAGAGGCCAAAGAATTTGCTGAAGTGCTGTTTTTCCATTTTTAATAGATAAAGATCTAACAATACGGACTGCTGTGTCTGTTCATTTCAGGATCAATATATTCTTTGTTTTCGCCAAACCAAGGAAAAAAATAAATGATTGTATGATAAATGCTATGCATCAAACACAATGAAATTCCTCTGCCTTCTAACTTTTATCTACTTAATATTCTCGGTTGCGAAAAGATGGCATTTTTATCCCTTGCCTAGCAAATGTAAGGAATCGCACACACATTATCCAGAAAGGAAATACAGACCATAATGAGGCATGCACATTATTATTAAAGCCAGGACAGACACTGGTTCACACACTCAACACAGTCAAAGTTGCTAAACTTCACCAATGCAGCATAAAAGTGGTAGGCAGGTCTCAAATTACCTCCTCCCCTCACAAGCTCATCTAATCTGCCCCTCCTTGGTCAACAATACTCAGTTATTCCACAAATCACGAGACCAAATCATCAGGCTTCTTGCTGCTAAATAATGAATCTGCTTTTCAGAAAATAAACCACATCACATAACTCTTACATCTTATCATATACGATCTCGATCGCCTTTATCTCCAAAACAGCCTCACAATGGGCAATGTTCTCAAAAAGCTATGGTGGTGCCCAAAACACCTCTTTGCCAGGGTTCGAGTAAGCCACCTAGATACAGCCTCCACTGTTGAGTCACGAGGCCATGGCCATGGAGGCCTGGCTGAAGACCTGCCTTCATCTCTCATTCAGGCCTTACCATCCACAAGGTCCAATGATTCCAGTTTATGGTAAGCCAAGGTGCTCCACTCTAGCCCAGAACCCACAGACTCAAAACATGACTGAGACTGCAGACAAGCAGGTAGCCAGTGTCAGAGCAGAATCCATGACAAAACCACATGACCACTACACATTCGGCTACTGCACTCCCACACAAGGGGCCGGGGTAGGCTGGGGGGGGGGGTGTCCATCAGGTTCCTTTACCTTTCCTAAGATTGGTTTTCATCAGATGGCCCGAGTGCTTTAAAGGCACCCCCTGCATCTTCGCCCCGGTGCTACCCAGCCTTCCTCTTCCAAGCGGGCTCCCGTTCTGCTCCAGGCGGGCAATCTTGGCTGGTGGGCCCTTCGGATCGCTCACATTGTTAGACATTTCTGAATGGTCTTTCCCCTGAGTTACCTCGTTCAGATGATCCATACTCAGTTACTCTCTAAAGATCACCTGCCAGGATTTAAAAAGAAGACATGTTATAATTGGGTGAGAATGTGTATGTGTGTGTGAGTGTATGTGTGTGTGTGTGTAGGTACAGAGACACACACACACACCCCCCCATGTAAATATCTCACCCCTGTCTTCTCTCCCTACACACATAATACCGGTAAAACTGCTTACCAGACATGCTATAATGCAGATGTTACCACATGTCCAGATAGCAGCCTTCCATGTCCATGCAAACTAACAGAATAATGTGTGGAAACTGGACCACCACATATGAGATAATTTGTCACCTTTGAACCAAATCAAGTGTGGGGAAAGAAACTTTTTTCTTAAAAATACTGCTGGGATAGCAAAATGGAAAAGAAAAATTATATTTACGTTAGTTCAAGTTTTAAAAATGAAAAACTCATTACAGAATGGCAGCATTTTAATCAAAGATAGTATGATTACCAGAGTCTAAAATATTAATTAAACCTGATGTATACACTTACGTATTTATCTTTCAATTGTTTGAGGGGATTAAAAAAGAGACCACCTCTTAAGAAGAAAGCAAATGAGTAACTACTTTCCAAAATCTCCCATTCTCTTGGCAGGTTAATTTGCACAAAGTTTTCTGGTATCAAAGTTTCAAGAGTTTTGTTTCTTGTTAAAGATCTAGCCAGCCTTGGGTCCAACCTCTGATTGGGTTATTCCAGGCAAACAGGAAGAGGTAATGGGGAGTTCCTACACCCCAGGCACTAAGGTATTACAACTCAGATGCTTTGGAGTTAAATTTTAGGTGTCCACTAGTCATAAAATGCTGTTCCCAATTTAAGTTGCAAAATATTTTAAAATACTTTGTGATACATACATATGAGGTTAAAGTGCTAAATTCACACTCTTATGTTAAATCCAGCAAAACACAACCTCCTATTTTGAAAAATCCTGCTGTGGGGGCAACATCCCTGTCAACTTCAATTTCTTTTTCCAATTATATATAAAATTTTATGCTAAAATAAAAAAAAAAAGTTGTTCATAATAAGGTAATTATTAGAATTCCAAGCTCATTTCAAAAAATAGTTTCCAACTAGACTCGTCAGAACAGGTGAGTTGAATTATGCACTCCCTTGGCACTAGAAGTATCAAGTTTACTAATGCTAAAGGGATCTTATTTTGGGCAAACCAGAAAGAATACAGCAATTGCCACTCTGTTCCAGCTGTCCCGTAATTTGACATCTCTTGTACTTTAAAAAAAAAAAAATGACACAGAAGCTATTTGGATTTGTTTCATGATGGCTTGCCCTGCAATGGCCTTTTTGCTAACACTTGCCCTGTTATAAATGACTGAACTACACTGTTCCATATAACTGAGAAATATGGTGACTTGGAAGACACTGAATTTGGAAGCCCAACCACAGCTTTAAGAAATCCAATTGAAGGGCTATAAAGTTTGGGAAATAACAGCTATTTATCCCTATACTCTAGGGTGGCATGCAAAGAACTAAAGGTTTACCGTTGATCGAGGTCCCATCTGTTTTTGGTTATGAGGTTCATTAACAATAAATGTGCCTCTTTTAACCACTTTTTATCAAGATTACTCTTTCCCATTATATTAAACTGCAGTCTAAAGCCAAAATTAGAGAGTGATGATTATTAACTTATTCAAAACACTCTTTATGTTTCATGTGGATTATAATAGAGAGCTGCTTTTTCTGAAATTGGCTGCTTTACCCTAGAGCAAAAGTTGAATTTTAAAAACGTATGATTTGAAAAGAAAATTCTCACCCCTGGGGCAATTTGAGGGGTTGGGGAAGGTAGACCAAAGCAGGAAAGTTAATGCTACAAAACACATCGAGGAGTGGGAAGACTCCACAGTACCAGAAACTGCACAGCACAAGGAATTTATAGACGATAATTTAGTTATTGTATTGACAATCCCAACATATAGACAGGCCATGTAAAATTGTTCTTCCAATATCCACCTACAAGCAACTATTAACCATCCAGGAAAGCTCTGCATTACAAGGCAAAATTACATGCACATAAAACACCTAATTTACTCATTTAAACTCCATGCCCAAGGCTAAGGGTCACCAAAGCTCAGATTGTTTTGGTAAAGAGCAACTCCACCAGGCCTGCCTGGCGGCCTGGCAGAGGAGCAGCTATGGCCACGACAGAGGCCAGGCTGGAGTTTCCTGAGTTGTTTGTAGAAGCCCATTTTCGTGTAGCATCTGGCTGGCACGCAGAAAGCGGACCACTTTCTCAAAAGCCCATCTTCTTGTCCATAAACTAAGTCCACACAGGAAAATGACAGATTGCAGCACCCAACTCGAGCACAGCAATTATTTGCTTTAAAAAAAAAACAGGAAGCAAAGCCTGAAATCCCGGTTTGGGGAACCAATTGTTTGCAATGGTGGATCCTTTCCCCTGAGCCGCCTCCCTGAGAACCCCCCAGCCAGGCAGTCCCCTGCAAGCAGGTCTGAGAGCCTGTGCCCTTATCCATTCCATATGGCCAGCGCGATCCAGGCCAAGCTTTCGCTGTGACCTTTTAAAGAGACAAAGAGGCAAAGTCCTGCCTACGAACAGAAACACTGCAGTTTTAGAGTGAAATTAGCAAAACCGACCTGAAACTCACCACTTCAAAACTTGACAGCGTATAAATAACAAAAACAAAGGAGATTTCTTTCCTTGGCAGCCCAGGTTCTTGAAGAGGAGTTCAAGACTGATGTTTTCTATGTCCCTTTTTTATTATATTTTTAAATTTAAAAAAAAAAAAAAAATCGCAGCAGACCTGAAGGCGACTTCCCCTGAAATTGTATTATTTTCTCTCCCCACCCCCTCCCCCTAAGCGGGGGAAGGGCAGAAATGAGGGTCCAGGAGCAGAGCCATGGGGGAAGGGGGAGGGGGGGCTGGGTGGGAAATACAAATAAACAAACAAATAATGCAAAAAAAAAAAAAATCACCATCCGAAAAACAACATCCAAGGTGGCTCACACGCCTGCCCTCGGAGTCCGGGGTTTTCGGTGGGGAGGAGGAGAGAGTGGAGGGGAGGGAGGAGGGTGAAGATAAAATTGATCTGACAAGTGATTCGTTGGGGGGGGGGGGTGATCGTAAAAACAAAGCAAAACCCGTTACGAGCTGTGCGCGGTGGTGGTGCCGGGCCAGCGAGGTGGTGACTGAGGAGGCGCTTTAAAAAGAAAAACAAAAATCGATGCGGACAACGTCTCCAGAAAGGGGGAGGGAGAAGGCAAAGAGCGATCTCTTTCCCCCCCGCGTCCCCCCACCCTCACCCCTGCCTCCTGCTCCTCGGGTCCTCGGTGCGAGGCCAGAAAGTCCACTTCTGCCTGTCACTTGCAGTGTTCTTCTCCAGTCACCCCCAGAAAGCAGGGGGGCACGGCCAGCACGGCCTCCGCCGCCGCGCGCCCCCGCCCCTCCCCACAATCGCCACTGCGGCCAACAACGCTCAACTTTCTTCCCACGGCCCCGCACCCCCGAGCGGGGCGGCGAGCGGGGGGCGGCGAGGCCGGGGCGCAGAGGGGCGCCGCGAGAAACCCGCAAAGGCACCAGATGGCCACTTTGGGGGCCCCTCTCCCTGCCCATGGGCGCGGGGCTGCCGTGCGCCTGGGGGGGGG